GCTCCCCGGGCTCGCGCTCCTCCCCCTCGTGCTCCCCGGACTCGCGCTCTCCGGACTCGCGCTTCCCGGGCTCGTGCTCTCCGGGTTCGCGCTCCCCGACCTCGTGCTCCCGGGCTCGCTCTCCCCTCCCTTGTGCTCCCCGGGCTCGCTCTCCTCCCCCTCGTGCTCCCCGGGGCTCGTGCTCTCCGGGTTCGCTCTCCCCGCCCTTGTGCTCCCGGGGCTCAGCTCCCCTCCCTCGTGCTCCCCGGGCTCGCGCTCCTCCCCCTCGTGCTCCCGGGGCTCAGCTCCCCTCCCTCGTGCTCCCGGGGCTCGCTCTCCCCGCCCTCGTGCTCCCCGGTCTCCCTCTCCCTTCCGTTGTGCTGCCTGGGCTCTGCACTCATGGCCACACGTGTGCTGTTTTGACAAGGACAAGGGTCCGATGTGTTGAGTTTTCAGAAACAGCTGCAGTCTCAGTATTTGAGGGACCTGCAGGAGGAAAAAACAAATGTGAGACTTACTGTCTGGAGTTAGTGGAAGATGCCCTTCACTTTATGGGTGGAATAACATCAGGATTTCTGTGAGACCATAGTCCGAAAACCATTACTGTAATGGAGACTTCTCCTTTTATTGAGACATTAAGTGAGGAAATAATTTGTCCAAGGATAGGCAACTGTAAGGCTAGAGCTGAGACTAGCATATCTGCCCTGGGAATCCTGGTCCACTTGTCTCAAGGTTTCCTTTCCCACCTACTTCATGGGACCCATAATCTCCGAGGTGAAGGAGAGAGAGCAGACAAAATGCTGATGTTCCTAAAACATTTCAAGGAATAAAACGGGAATCAAAACATGCTGGCAGTAATGACAGTTCTGTGGTGTCTCCATTTTACAAAGGAAAGAACAAACTAGAGGAGGAAAAATAGAGCAATTTCACACAACCAAATGCAGAGCGAGGCTGGAAACCTTCACCTGTTGGAAGTGAAGTTTCATGCTCCCAAAAGCCGTGCTCTGCAGTTTGGCCCCTGAACAGCATGAGGGCCAGCCATCCAGATCCACTTACACAGATTATTTTCAGTAAATATATTGAAAAAAAATTCTTGAGATTTGTAACAATTTGAAAAGAACTTTCTCTAGCCTTACTGTAAGAATAGAGTATATAACATACAAAATATGTGCTCGTTAGCTATTTATATTATTGGTAAGGCTTCTGGTCAACAGTAGACTTAAGTTTTGGGGGAGTCAGAAGTTACAGATTTTTTTTTTTTTTACTGGAGGAGGATGGTCAATGCCACTAACCTTCCTGTTCAAGGATCAACCGTGTTGCCTGGTAATAAATCTGTTTTATAGATAGATCACCAGCAGTAAAGAAAAATTTCTGTATTTTGAGGCAGACAAAGGTGCCTTTTAGGAACTTCCTACTACATGGCAGAAGTGGTCTTGAAAAATGAATAAGCCTGAATCCTAAAGGATATATATACACGTGGTATATAGACCATAGTCTGAAAATAAAGGGATATGGACCAAGGCCATTCTTGTTTGATATGGATGTGATCGATCATAGCTGCCTTTAAGACCTAGGCTTCTAGGAGTAAGAAATTTGAATAGACCAGAAACAGGGAAGAGACTGAGAACGCACTCCACGTACGCTCACTAAATGGACCTGAGACTAATAAGTGCACTAATGGGTAATTTCTAATTTTTTGGTAGTAGAGAATTCCTCTGTTCTTAAGCATAGGAAGCATGAAGACACACAGCACAATTTAATCGATTTAAATGTCTTTTAATTTTATATGTGCTGATCCATTTTTTTTTTCTTCTAGTAATAGCACTTCCATTTTCCTTTGGAGGATTTTTTCATTTCCCATACAATAGAGTTTTAATGGGACTGTCATTTTCCTTAACTTTGTGGTTAGATGAGACACAAATGTGGCTAATTAGTTGAACGCTTCATGGAATAATGTAAGAAAATGGTTGGGATTAATTCAAATTGAGGACAGAATACTGATGTGCCTCATGTGTCTGGTTCTTTAGCCTTCTCTTCCATTCTGTGAGCTGCTCAAACCAAAGATCCAAAACCTTAAACAGATAACCAAAAAATTGAAGACTTGGTTAGTCTTACTTGTGTATATACATTTGAAAATCTTAAATACAAGCAAATAGGCTTTAGATTTTTAGAGCAGAGCTATAGAGAGAGCATGAGCTGGGGGGAGGAGCAGAGGGAGAGGGAGAAGCAGACTCCGCAATGACCAGGGAGCTCGACTCGGGGCTCATCCCAGGACCCTGGGATCATGACCTGACCTGAACTGAAGGTGGACGCTTAAATGATGGAGCTACCCAGGTGCCCCAAATAGCCTTTAATTAGTATATTAATATTATATTGTTACTAATACAGTGGCATCTTATGACCAGACTCCGTTTATTTTGGGATTATAAGCAGGCTCAACATAAGGAAATGCTGTATCACTAGGTTAAATAATTAAAGTCAGGTTATTTTTGTAGATGCAAAAATGTTGATCATATTTAAAACATTTCTAATTTTTAGAAAATTACAAAGATTCTTCCTTAATGAAAGGATAAAATAATGAATAAAAGGAAAAAAGTTTTCCTTTTATTCATGGGGTGCCTGGGTGGCTCAGTCATTAAGCGTCTGCCTTCGGCTCAGGTCATGATCCCAGGGTCCTGGGATTGAGCCCCGCATCGGGCTCTCTACTCAGCCGGAAGCCTGCTTCTCCCTCCCCCATGCCCCCTGCTTGTGTTCCCTCTCTTGCTGTCTCTCGCTCTGTCAAATAAAATCTTTAAAAAAAAAAAAAGGAAAACTGAATCAGAAGGCCAAAATTATATATAAGGAAGAAATGTTAGAGATGTGAGTTTTCAGCAAGTTAGAATCACTGTTATTTTCAAACCATGCATGCATGCTCTATCCCCAAGGGAATCATTGCAGTTGTAAGCCACTGTTAAGGATACAGTGTTGTATCCCTTGTGTATATTGTGGGGAAAAAAAGATGGCAATTACTCTAGAGAAGTATTCTCTTAATAAAAAAAGAACAAAATAAGATTTTATTTTTAAGAGGCTTTGGGAGCAAATAATTCCTCTTTCCTCCAACTAAAACAATGCAGCCTGGCAAATAATCAAAATAGTAGATTTCTGATGAAGGGCTTCCAACTAGCAGCCAACATGGAGTTATTCCTACCAGAAACCATTGAAAATAGCACAAAATGTATGAAGCAATTGTTTTTCCATTGATGAGATGTAAGGCAAGACAGGATAGTAATCTCTGGGGGTGGGGGATAGGAATGGTGACCCCAAGATTTCCTCTGACTCCCCAGTGAGGGAATTCTGGCCTACACCTGTGGAGAGCTCTTCCTTAGTTGAGAAGGGTTTGAGAGCCAGGGTAGATCAAGCTGGTGTGAATGCAGAGCAGAGTATTAGGAGGGAGCTGCACAAACAGCTCCAAAGATCTGCTAAGGATCTTCCTCAGGTCTTCAGGTTAGAGCATCAGTGTGTCTAATAAGGAAACCACCTGTTCCCAGAGAAAGAACCACCAAAAGGAGCAGGAAAAATCGCTGGACTCACACAAAATCATTTGTTTTTCCACCAGTAGGAGTGAAAAACCATGTAAATCATAGGACATTGGTTAGAGTGCTAAGAAGTGTATTGTGTCAGTACTGGGGGAAGAAATAGCTCTAGACTTAAAGATTTTTCCAGTTTGGTCTATCAAGATTAAAAGCAAGTCTCAAGAGAATGAAACTGTTCCTGTTACTACATGCTAGAAAACTCAAGAGTATGTAAAGGAATGCAAAAACACACCAAGGTAAAAGTCACAGTATCTTCTGTCCAATTAAATATTTTCAGACCTACAAAGAAACAGGAAAATAGAACTCAAAGTGAGAAGAAACAATAAAAACACCCAGAAATGACAAATAGCAAAGACAGAATTAGTATAAAAGGTCACTGAAGTAGTTCCTACAGAAAAGTTACTGTATTAGTTTTCATTAAATTAAAGCAGTTATATGATATTAAATGATAAAACAGTTACTACATTTTTTATGTTCAAGCATGTTAAATCCAGATGAAACTCTACAGTTGATAAATATAATGTTAGAGATGTAAAATATACTGAATGGAAATAGCAGATTTCACACTGCAGAGCAGAACTTAGTGAACTTAGAGGCAGCAATGGAAAGAAGACCTGAAAAAAATATATATTAGGAGAAATAAAT